GCCGCCGCCGCCATTTTAAGGGCGACGCGAGGCCGCGGTCCGCCCCGGCCCGGCCCCTTCCCCGCCTCCGCGCGGGGCGTTATTTGCCTTTTGCGTGTCCCGGGAAATCCACGTTTAGAGCAAGGGGCACCCTGCCTTCCTCGGCGCCAGGAGCACCTCCCCGGAGGTAAAGCAGCCTGGGGTATTTGCTCCCCGAACAGCTCCGTGCTTCCGCAGCGGCTGGGGAGGAGGGTGGGCAGTGTAAGGGGGAGCAGCCATCCAAGGCCTCAGTGCCACAGGCAGGCAACAGGCTGAAGGATCTGAGTCCCCTAAGGAGAAGCCAAATTATGATCGTTAATCATCACCCGTGTCCCTGCTTGCAACGGCAAAAACCTCTAAATCCACCTAACGGGCAGAGGTGTTTTGGGAGCCCACCGGTGTTGCTGCTGCTTCCCACCCTCACCGCTGACAGGTCCCGTTTGCTGGTGGACCGTCAGTACCACAGCAGGGCCATCGTCTCGCACCCCTGCACCCATTTCATACCCGTTCCCCGTGGGCCACCAAGGCCTCCCTGAGCCGGGCTGTGGATAGCAAAGCTCCCTGGAGCAATGTGTGCTTCCCAGGCATGGGAAACAGAGCCAACTTCCCGAATCCTAGCCTAGATATTGGCACGAGGCTGTTGTTCTTTGCCTGGTATATCTCAGTTTAAGTAAATAAGACTCGATTTGGAATTTTTCTCAGCAAAGTCATTTATTAAACCCCTGAAAGGCATGTTCAGATAGCGTAAGTGAACACCTAACACTCAGCAAAGAACAGCACCCTAAGGAAACACTCACATGAACACAGAAGTCACAAAAGTAGAGACCGGCAGCCTGTTTTTATGAGACAGCACATCCCTGCTTTTGCTCGTGTGTTCCCACAGCATATGCATCCAGGACACTGCCTGAGCAGAACCAGTCCAATCCCAGGCAGATGACCTCTTTTTTGTGAACATATCTTGTGGCGACGGTGCCACAAAATGGAGGGGCCATTTGGGAAGCTGCAGGTTTTAGAATACGTAGGGATGGGGGCTGCTTCTTTTGTGGCTATGGTGTCCCTCCATGGTTGTGTCCACAGCTGGCAGCAGCCAAAAGTCAGACAGACGCTTCCCACAAAGACAATCGTTATGCCAGGCAAAGGAAACAGTTCCTTAGATGCTCAAAATGACCTTGGGGGTGGCTGAGTTCATTTAACTTCCAAAACGATGCCACAAGATGGAGGGGCTATTTGGGAAGCTGTGGTGAAGTCGTCCAGGTTTTAGAATACATAGGGATGGGGGCTGCTTCTTTTGTGGCTATGGTGTCCCTCCATGGTTGTGTCCACAGCTGGCAGCAGCCAAAAGTCAGACAGACGCTTCCCACAAAGACAATCGTTATGCCAGGCAATGGAAACAGTTCCTTAAGGGTTTGCTTCAATATTTAATTTTTAACACATTTTTTTTTCAGGTCAGATATCAGTAAAGGTATTAGCTGAAGGCAAAGATTGGCCACTGCTAGCAAGGTGAAGGTTGTTCATGAAGCTGCCGGTTAGCTGACTGTAACCCTGTGACAGTTTGGCTCATGCAGCTAGCCACCTAATTCCTTGAACTGCCTGAAACTGCCCCTTTCTCTTGGCATATAACCCATCTATGTGACAGCACCACAGCTGCCTCCCACCTTTTTTATCCTCTCCATGTACTTCTCATGGGAGCTGCTGAGGGCCTCAGGACATCATTGCTTTGTGGTGCTGCTCTGTTTTCTCTACAGCGCGGTTAGTGCTTTGCATAAGAAAGAATCTCAAAACCCATGGAATTTCTCTGTACTGGGACAAAGCTAAGGAAGGATGTTTTATTTTCAAAGCTATCATGTTTGTAGAGACATACCTGTCACCCCTGTCCCTCAGGGAAGGGACAGGGTGTAGGTGAGATCTTGGCATGGCAAGAACCGTTCTGCCCAGTCTGGAATTACAGTGGCCACAGCCTTCCTTTGGGATATGGACGGAGGCGGCTGCTTTCCCGCATGGGTCCAGGAACATGGAGGGTTTTCCAGGCTCTGCCTCCTCATGAGTTATTCTAGCGTTTATTTCTCTTTACTGTTAAGGGGGAAAAAAAGCCACAGAGCATTTTAAGATAAAAATATGACCTCTAGCACAAAACACTATGTCATTTCCTATATCCACCTCCACAGCACTGGCATTACCTCCTCTGCTACATTAATTGCTCTGCTCAGGGTCAGCGGAGCATGGGGTGGGGTTGGCTTCCCAGACCTATTGCTCAGTTTCATCTCATAACCACAAGACAGGCTTTCCCATCCTGCCAGAAATCCTAAGTTTAGAAAGACAGGCCTTAACGTAGCAGCATTACACAGCTAGCTCATGCAAGATTTAGGACATTGGGCTCTTGCTGGGCTAAGAGAGGGCAATCTTTTATACCTTAAAAATAGTATCTGCCCTGTTGCAACACAGTCTCTTAGTGAAAAGGAAAGATGTTGTGCACTGACTGGAAAGGCTGTGGGTAGCCTGCTGAGCACTGGCAACATCCAGCATGAGAATTATCACAGGAAACAAACCCCACAGTCGGCAGCAAGCTGTGCAACTAATTCCACAGCAAGAGAACATCATGGTCGATTGTGTAGCTGGAGGAACACATGGGCACTGCTGAAGCACTGCGGTGCCTGCAGAGAGGACAGGGACATGGGAACAGGCCAAAGCTGGTAACAGCGGCAGGAATCTGCCTCCATTTATCTTTCCTCAAACTGGCTTTACATCCAGACTGGAGCAGTTTAAAAACTCAACATTAAGAGTTCTCTTAGTGTCTTCTAGAGGTGAAGACTCTTGTACTGTCAGTGACTGTCACCAATGGGAGCAGCTGGCTGTGGCCCAAATCGGTCCCTGCACTTCCAACGTATCCACCGGGTCTCTTCCCTCTGCCTTGTGCTGGCCCTGCTATCTCAGGCCTCCATCAAACAGGGCCTCAACTGCTGGAGCTGCCCACATGCTTCTCAATTCGCAGTAGCTTACATTCACACAGGAAGGCAATAAGCCAACTCTCAGCACGCTCATAGCTATTTCTGCAAGCAGACACGGAGCAGAGTATGGAACAGCACAGCTCTGTTCCCTCCTGCCTGTGCTCTGAACCACGGTGCTGCCCTGTTCCGCCTCCAAGCATCACCCAGGGGTCCTTTTTATTCTCACATGCCATCCTGTCACTGTCCCAATGAATAACTAATCCCACGAAGCCACTGCAACAGAAAAGACTAAGGAAGCAGAGGCTTCGTTAACGTGGAAAGTGATGACACATTGCGGGAGGAAGAGATTTGTTGCTGCTCCTTATGTTGAATCATCATTCATCCAGAAGAGGCCCAGTGCAGGCAGCGACTATTATTGCCCATAAATAGGCTACAGTCCAGGCAGAGATGTGGGAAATTCTGTGTTTTAAGCCCTGTGAAGCAAAGCCTTCAGCCTAGCTCCCCCCTCTCCTTGGGAAGTGTCCTAAATGCCGGCACCTCGTAGGTGGGGGAGTTTCGCTGGGGGGTTTTCAGCAAGTTCCATCCTTGTTGAATCAGCACCTCAGAGCTGCAGCTGAAACAGAACGACTTTTTCTGAGGAAGGACTCCTGCGTTGCAAAACTGTTGAAAATTTCCAGCACGCCGCAGAGAGGCCTTCTGGAAACTCCTCCTGCTCTCCTAGTCACACCACCAACTTTTGACCCCAGAAGCAAAG